TTGGGAACTCTCTGATGATCCCTTATTTATGACTAATGCTAAGCATTTGTACTAGAGATGTGACTATGTCATAAGGACCTTCAGATATTTCCAATGATTCCAATCTAAATGCTAAATGATCTTAGGAATTGCATTACACAGAAATAATTCCAACAAAAATGAGAAGACTAATGTTCAGTAAAATTTAATGTCTTGCCCAAATCATGGATCTGGGACTCAAGTCCTTGTTTACTGGCTATGCTACACCACTTTTATCAACAACTCATTTCCACTTCTTCCCAGCCCTACCTCTGGCTAGAGTCTGCCTCATCCTTTCATTGTCTGCTTCTGTGAATGGTGACTGTTCCCTAATTGAGAATTGCATTTTCATTCAATTCTGCCTTTAGACTCAGCTGAAAATATAAAAATGTATAGAAATTGCAGCATGCTTTAATTCTTTTTCCAGAAAATATAAATTGGCAGAAAAACTTTTCCTTAAAATTTTTCCTAACTATAAAAGTATATACTTTGCATAGAAAATTTAGAAAATGCAGTGAAGAAATGTGTGAAAATGAAGACTAATACCACTCATTATTTTCCTACGTACAAATATCTACTCCCCCACCAGCTTTATTGAGAAATAATCGATATACATCACTGTATAAGTTTAAGGCATACAGTATGATGGTTTGATTTACATATATTGTGAAATGATTACCACAGTAGTTTCAGCTAACATCTATCATCTCATATAGATACAATAAACAGAAAAGACAAATATCTACTTTTAACATTTTAGGTCTATTTCCTTTTTTTCTATTTTTATTTTTCTATTTCAGGCATTTTTATATTGGGATAATAAAGGATTTATTCTTGTTCTTTTTCCACTTAATATTATATCATAGTTTTTCATTTCAATAGTGATTATTCTAAAACATTTTAATGACTGCATCATATTTCAGAATATGAAGATATTACAATTTATTAAATCATTCCATAATTTTGGACATTAGTACTATTTCAAAATTGTAACCCATTATATGCTGAAAGAATACATTAGTACGTAAAAGGCAAGTCATTTCTCTGAGTATTTCCTAAGAATAGATTCTTAGAAAATTTTTTGGATTCTTTGGATTCTTAGTAGATTTAAAGACATGATCATTGTATTTCATAGTTTCCTATTGCTGCCATAACAATTTAGCACAAATTTAGCAGCTTAAAACAGCACTCCTTTATTATTTCACAGAAGTCTGGCTGACTCAGCAGAGTACTCTACTTACGGCCTCCCAAGCCTCAAATCAAAGTGTTGATGCCCTGAGCTCTTACTTAGAGGCTCAGGAGGAGAGTCATCATCTTGGCTTATTTAAGTTGTTGGCAGAATTCATTTTCCTCTCAGTTTGCACATGGTCTCCTCCATCTTCAAGCCAGCAATGGCAGGTTGAGTCTCTGTCATGCTTTGAATCTAAGTTCAGTCGAAGAAAAGTTCTGATTTTAAGGATTTGTGTGATTAGATTACTCAAGATAATCTTATTTTAAGATCTTTACTTCAATTACATCTGTTAAGTCGTATTTGCCATGTAAAGTAACATATTCTCAGGTTCTAGAAATTAGGGTGTAAACATCTTTGGGGGGCCATTCTGCCTACTACAAACATTTTTAGGGATCTTTTAAAGTATTGTCAGAATGCTTTCCAGATAAGCTGAGCCAAGATTTCTGCCACCAGCATTGAATGAGAGTGCTCAGCTCCCTATACTCACCAAAACAGAATATTACTTTTTCTTTATCATAGTAATATGATAGGGAAAAACAATTGTATTTGTGTTTTTACTTGCATGTCTTCGATCATAGTGAAGTAAAACTGTTTATAAATACTCAATCACCAATCATTTTTTTTTTCTATGATTGCATGTCCATTGCCCATTCTTCTATTAGAGTCTTAGTATTTCTCTTATTGATTTTATTATCTCTTCACACATTAAGGATTTTTGGTATTATTTTGTAGTAGCTGGTGTTTTTAAAATTTATCCTTTAAAGTACAGAATTATTTTTCACTGTTATGCAGTTATTCATCATGATCTCTGTGATTTCTTCCATTGCGTTTTACTTTCACAGACAGCTATCAAATAGTTATTCCTAAAATGTCAACTGGTTGTTTTGGCTTTCATATTGAATTTTTTTTTTTCATTTTGGTGTATGGTGCAAAGAAAGGCTCTCAACTGATTTCTTTTTTCAACCAGTTTCTTCAACACTGTCTATTAAATAATTAGTACAAAATTTTTTATTGGGAAAAGATAGTCATGATGATGCATGCTACAGAAGCAAAGGCTCTACACATTCTGCTTCTACATGTGAAGAAAAATGCAGAGTCAAGAGAAAATGGTAGAATTTCCAATTTGGTAAATAAGAATTGAATGAAGTAATTTCTTTTGTTTCATTTATATATGTTTGTGACAAAGGCTCAGAAAACTAATAAAGTTGATTACTAGTAGCCAGAAATGGTTGTTGATGTCCTGGGCCTGTCTAGGTAGTACTGGGTCTCCTAACCAAGAGCCAAAGTAACTTAGAAAAAGTTATTTTTAATCAAATATCTATAGAAAACAATAACTAGATTAGCGCACATTAAGTAAAATTAACTATAAGGCAAAAAATATACACCCCCCCCACCAAAAAAAAAAGAAAAAAGAAAAAAAAGATGCTTACCTTCCAAATTTGAAAATCTAAACATCAATTATGGCAATACTATTCTAATTAATTTTATCTCAGTAAGACAGAAATTGCAGGACTTCAAGTTATAAAGACACAGCCTCAGAAACATGTAATTAAGACACCTTTAGGAATATGAGTAGGCATATCATAGACTGAAAAAATACATTTGCTATCTGACAAAGGGCATGTATCTAGAATATCTAAAGAACTCTGAAAAATCCACAATAAAAAGACCAACATTCTAACTTTAAAAATGGGCAAAATATTTGAATAGACACTTTACAAAAGGAAACATAAATGACCATTAAGCACATGAAAGTTTTCAACACTAGTCATCAAAGAAATGAAAATCACAATGAGATACTATTTCACACCCACTTGAAAGGCTATAAAGTATAAAATGCAATGTCAAATGTTGGCAGGGATACAGAGCAACTGGGACTTGTATATATTACTGGTGAAAATGAAAATTGTAGAACCACTTTAGCAAACTATTTGGAAGTTTTTGAGAAAGTTAAGCATACACTTACCATATGACCCATCATTCCCACTAATAGTTTATTTCTACCCAATCCTTAGCACTCCCATGTTGCTTTCCTTGCTCCTAAATCTTCCATATCTTCATTTTACTACTCTCGTGTTTCTTCTAGTCCCTCTTCTTCCATCCCAAATGAATTCTTCCTAATTAACCACAAAGAGACTCATTTCTTCCACATTTATTCTAGGAGATATATATGTAATGTCATAAATAAAAATGATTTAGAATTAGCTGTGTATTTTGCCAAAATAAGATGTCAACTATTCTCTTTGACAGCTAAAGATGTTTGTTATATGTCAAGAGTAAAAATGAAAATGAAACATATACTAAAATAAGGAAAACTATATTTAGATTAAAAAATTTTCTTGCACAAATAATTCATAGCCTTCAACAACAGAAAGAAAACTACATCAGAGTCATTTGAAGAGTTTATTTATTGTATACCAATATACACTTTCTGTAATAAAAAAGCCTTCCAGTACATTGAACCATCTTATAAATGAAATAAGAAAATAAAATTTTCATCTGTTTATAAATGGGGTTAAATTAGCCAGTATGAGAAACCGTATGTATGTCTGCCCTGCAGTCTATGTGAACTCATCTTGAAAATGGCTGTGAGGAAAAAATGGTGCTTTATTATTTGGCACATTAGTATTGCTCTTGAATATTTATAGAATTACACATGTTTTTTTCAAGTCAGTCATTTGAAATGTAAAGCATTCAAAATATATATAGATTTTATATAAAAGTTTTCCACTTTTTGGATTATTTGTTGATATTTACATTTAAATATATTCAGATTAAACTTCTTTTTTTTTAACACTTAGAAGCTACCTTTTTCCACTTGCTATCTTGATACACTCTTTAAATTATGACAATATATCTGAAAGATGCTATTTGGCAAATTTTTTCCGATAATGATAACCCACAAGTTATGATAGTTTCTAGTAATGCTCAATTTCCATAACAATGCACATTCTAGAAAAACAATTAAAATATGATTTAATATCATCATACTTATACTTCATACTTGGCTTTACTAAAATTTAAAATATATAACAAATGTTCTTGCTACTGATTTGAGAAAAAAAGTAGTGAACTCCAGAAATTACAGGCAGTGAGTACTTATTTTTAAATCCATTTTATGTCAGTCGTAGAAGTGAGCAAGAATAATAGTTTGCTTCTTTTTGCTGTGTTAGCACTTTTATTTTTATGAAGAACCACTCAATATTGTATTAAGTGGTAAATGAATGTCATCAAACACCTGTGCAAGCTAACGTGAGCTAAATGCCATTTTATACATGTTAAATGAACAACCTTAGTTTTAATAATTATTTGCAAATAGGAACTTATTTTCTTGTAACTGATTATAATATTGTTGTAAACAATGAAGAAGAGCATTACTGAACTATATATAACTTAGGCTTCAAATTTAAAATATCCCCAACAGACAGATACATACAAATGAATTTTTAGCCCATCAACTTAGTTCCCCGCTCCCACCCCCAATAATATAAATGTTTTGACTGCAAAGAAAGAAAACTACACATGTAAAATATAAAAATCAAATGTACTATACATTAAAATTCTGATGCCTACAGAATAAGATTATATATATAAACATATAGCAATCACAGTTTCCTGCACTGAATGTTTGTCAAATAAAAATGTATCAAACAATACTGGGTAGTGTATCGCCACATAAATCGTGGCTCTCTAAAAATTCTGAATGAGAATGGAAGACGAGAGGGAGAGCATTGTTCAATGATATAAGTATGACAAGAGGACTAGGAATAACATTAAAAAGCAAATGCTTCCAGAACAGGTAGTTTAGCTATTAGCATTATTTTTGTTGTTGCTCTATAATTTAAATAAAACCCCTCTCTATTATTGTTAGTTTACAAAATAAATCTGTTGAATAAAGAAATCACTAATTCAATGTCACAGACAGGATGGGTGAAATTTTCCTTTACTGTTGACAATAAGATGTACTAGCCTGGTGTCTGATCATTCACGTACCTTACAGGGACAGTTCATAGGACATGCCTTTGCTTCAGTTATTAAATAGACCCAGAGTATTTGATGCAAGATTAGGGGAAGGCGTTAAGTGGTGATAGCTTTGCCACCAGGACATTTTTGTTTGATTTTCGAGAATACAAGTATTTGGTACTTTTTTTGCAGGGGAAGGGTATTATCTGATTAGCTACACACGGTTACCCTTATTCTGCTTGTACAGTAGGAAAAATCCTCTCACACTGCTCTAGTAAAACCTAGGTAGAAATGTGCACCACAGACTTTAAACACATACACAATCATTCTTCACAAAAATGATGATTTTTCTTTTCCGAAGTTGCCTGGTGATGTTACTAGTAAATGTCTTTGGAATTCTCTTGTTATTTCCTATAAATAACATCCCAATCAAGATAACGTGCATGTCTTTTGGAGCATAATTTGCAACCATTTTTAGTAGAAAAAGGAAGTTTTTTTCCTTGGATTAGTGATGCTTGGGAATTGGGGGATTGTAAATCCAGTCAATTATAATGAGTGCCATGCTTCCAATCATGAAGATGATGCCAACCAAAAGAAAAATTATAGCCTGTAAGTCAGAGAGAACTTGTTAGGGGACACAGAAACCATACTTACTTAGCACACTTTGTGCTAAGTAAATAAACAGTAAATTGTTTACCTAAGGCAGCAATCTGATTTGCCTAGTGAATTGTATTATTCCTTATAGTTCAGATGTCCATGCCTAGTAGGTCAGTCAATTTAGAACCCTAGTTAGGGAA